CAAAGTCATAACCCTCACATTGTTCTGGTTTCTCTGGTTCAGTTACTGCATCACCTTTATGGCCCAAAAGTGGTGCTGCATCTCCCCAAGTGCTTAATTTACCACATTTCAGCCCTTGGAAGATAGGCTTCCTTGTTCAGTATGATTTGAGTCAGCATTAAGTGAGGCAGTAGTTCTAGGGAGATTTGAAAATGTAGAGTACAACTGATGTTTTTTAGTTTGTTATCATGGTAAATGACAAAACATGAAGAAGGTACTTTGGTTTCAAGAATCTTTTATCTGCTTTATTATAGAAATGTCATGTTTGACATGTTTTGAAAAAGGAGGTACATGTAACTTGATTCACATAAGATTTGAAATCTTACAAAATTAACCAAATATAGTGTAATAGATTTGACTTAATGAATGGTGGAGCTACAACATTTTCTAATTAAACCAACTTAGGAAACCAGGCTTGGTCTCTGCAATGAGACTTGGTTGAGAAGAAAGTTCGGGTGTTGGTCATTTTTAACCCCTAGCATCTAGTAGTAGAATTGGCAAATAATAGACCAGTTCATGCGCTTTTCCTGACCCTTAGCTTTGAAGTTTGACATGTAAAATAAAATTGATAGCTAATGTCTAAGATCAGCTGAAATAAGACCTGTGAAATAGAAACCTTATATTAGCAGGTACCAAATTATGTCAGGTAAACTCTACTTCAACCAACCCCAATTCATACAAAAACATTGGTAGAAGTTTATCATTAATTTTATGTAATTATCATTATCCTATAATATCAAAATCTTAAAATTTACCACAGGGTTACTTTAAAGACCATCTCTGTAAAATAAAAACTAGAAAGCTTTTAAAAATAATTAAAATAGCCCTGGCCAGGTTGCTCGGTTGGTTGGAGTGTCATCCCATACACCAAAAGGTGGTGGGTTTGATTCCCAGTTAGGGCACATACCTAGGTTATGGGCTCGATCCCCAGTCGATGTGTACAGGAGGCAACCGATCGATGTTTCTCCCGATTGATGTTTCTCTCTCACATCGATGTTTTTCTCTTTTTCTTTCTACCTTCTACAAATCAATAAAAACATATCCTTGGGTGAAGATTTCAAAAATAACAAATAAATATAGTTAAAGTACAATGGGGTTTGAGAAACTGGAATTTATGAAAGCCAATGTTCCTCAGATTTTCCAAATAATGGGTTGCCCAGATGAGCTCATGTAGACAGACATGCTGTATGAGCTCAGTAACTAGAAGTGATGGAAATGATATTAGTACACTTCTGGCTCTGTGCCAGCCTTGTTTCTCCAACTCCACACACAGATTTGCAGTCCTGGCCGCTCCAGGATATGAGTACATTGCTTTACAACCTGGGGTCCTGCACCTCCTTTTCAACATGGGGTGAATTTGTATAGTGGGCAGTAGGAGTACTCTACACCAGTACTCATTCCTACACCAGGATACTACAATAACCTAGCTATAAATGGAAGTGACTATGAATCATATGCATAGATCCCAGTAGCCTAACCTAAATGCATCCTTAGTTTACGTCATTTAGCTTAGTTCCAAAAATAACTGTGGCCATTTGAATACTACACAACACAACAGAGGGAATTTGGGTTATAAAAAGGCAGCAGTGGTAACCATTTGCAAAGAAACCATTTTGTTTTTGTGAGTTTTTAAAAACACATGACAATATAAACAGGTTCCTTGGAGTCCATACAAGTAAGGGACCCTAAAACTCATTATGATAGTAAATTCACTTTAGCACCTACTAGCACGTGTAGGTACCCACAGATACTTGTTGATGGCTGGATGGGTGAATGGAAAGGGACTTCTTTGAGACTCTTCCACAACATTGCTAAATCAAAGCGCCTTTCAAATTAAATTGGACCAATAAGCCGCAGATGACATTTATCATAGTAAAACTTTGCTAAATCTCTGAGTGATATGGGATCTATTTTTAATAAGAAATATGTCAAGATTTATTCATTATAAAGACAGATATATTGACCCTTTGATTTTTCTTTTTATGGGGAAATTCATGATTTCTGAGTAATTCTGCAGCTCTGTCAAGTGCACTTTCTCAAGGGTATGCCCTTAGCAGAGCTACCACTTGGAATGTTTTATTGCTAAAATTAGGAAACAACTTTCTTCAATGTCTAGTTACATCTGCCTTTTTACAAAGGCCAATTTCTACTCTGTGGCTTTGAAAAATTTTTTTCCTTTGGTGACTCCCAAGAAACCAGTTGTTTAAAAAAATTTAAATGGTATTGCAGCTAGAATGAGCTGAAAAGTTGAAGGTCCATATTTTCCAGGATGGAGTAAAAATATAGATTTATTTACATTTTAATTTACTGTCTAACGTTCAAACAGAGATCGTGCTAGAAGTGAAATTGGCAGGTCAGACAAGAAATCTAGTACTGAATGGCATTTGCTTGGGATTCTGGCTTTTCGTATACCCCCCTCACCCTCATGCCCAGGGTTAGCAGACCAGTCTCACTGGTCATCCGAGAACTACTACAAAATCAAACGTTCTCTTATAAAACCTGACTCTGCGTATACATTTATACGCCACCGCAAAACCATGTGCCACTTTTCGGGACCTGGGATTTTTCAAACAGGGCCAGAATCAAAATGTTTCTTGCAGATGCTGAGTTTTCCTGTTTTACATTCAGACTGAGATAGTTGAGAGAAGATACATTATGAGGCAAATGATGGTTTATTCACGGTGAAGTTTGGACTTACAGCTAGGTTTTCTTTCACAAGCTTATTTTAGGAAATGGACTTGTGATGCTCTAATGGAAAAACTGGGCCTTCAGTGGAAACATCAACTTTTCCCCGTTTTCCCTCATCTTGTCCCTTTAAAATGTCTCACTTTTAAGCAATTGCACATTAATCTTGGGGCCTAATTACAATATATGATAGTATGAAAAGCAAGTATAGATGAAGCCATCGTTTCTGTATATACTGGTAAAAGAAATTTCACACACATATTTCAGTGTGATTAGAAAAAGATGAAGATTTTTTCTTTAGCTTCATTCAGCTGCTGTAATGAGTATTATTGATTAAAATGTTAGGATCAATAAGGACTTAAAATTGGAATAGTGGAGATCCAAAGAAGAAGGATAAGGTTATGGTCTGTCAAGTAACCTAACAAAGGCTTTGTAAAAAAGTTGATTTTTGCACATAACTATCGATGGTACTTCCTGGCTTTCATTGGCATACCCTTGTCCAACAGCAGGCAGGTACACGGAAAACTACAATCTATACTGTTATCCGACTCACACTACATCTTTGTAAACATCGCACACTACTAGAAGCTAATTAAAAAACTTGAGCCTTTGAATATGGGTTACTAATGTTTTCTAAAGAATTCTCTGTAATGTTAACGAGGAAGCTGCTTTCCAAGTCATTTAACAGCCAATGGAACGGAACATGTTTCTCCTTAGAATGCAATTATGTATAATAATGCAGTTACACTTTGTCAGGTTCATTCTAAAATTACAGCAGTGATATTTTAAATACCCTTTTTCTCCTTTTCTTAATCATCAGTACCAAATATCCTAGACTTCTATCGTACAGCCTCATAACCATGGATAAATGGGTTAGATATACCTCACATATAAGCAATTGCAATATAAGACTTGGTTTCATTTGTAGGAAAAAAACTAAACAGATCTAGAAAAATGCATGTGTAAAATATCAAACCACAGGGAGGTAAATGCAGAAAAAAGATAATCAGAATACTAATAAACTGAAAAATAAACTGAAACAGTGTTCACTAATGCCAATTTTAGGAAAAATGTCTAAAATTAATGAGTATTTTAATTAAATCTATACAAAAATTACCCCTAAAAAACAATTCAGAGACCAACACCTGAAAATATTAACAAATAGTTAAACTTAGGCTCGAAGAGCTGCTAGAGAGAAAAATGTGGAGGAACATAAAAGAAATGCCTTAAAGGGACGGAAAAGGAAGAAGGCTCACCAATCATTAAATCCAGGGGCTGAATTCTGAATTTTCTCAGCGCTTCTCTGGGCACCACATTCTTGAATCTAATTAAAGTTTCCTTTTGAAAATTTTACAGTCTTTAAATTTCTTTTTTCTTTATTGATGTTAGAGAAAGAGAGGAAGGGAGAGATAGAAACATTAATGAGAGAGAACATTGATTGGCTGCCTCCTGCATGCCCCCTACTAGAGACCCAACCCATAACCTGGGCATGTGCCCTGACTGGGAATTGAATTGGCGATCTCTTGGTGCATGGGTGGATGCTCAACCACTGAGCCACACCGGCCGGGCAAAAATTTTACAGTCTTTAGATGAAGTCAAAGAAATATACCTTTTTTTCCCAAATCAATTCTCATCTTACTGAATATTAATTTCACTGTTTATTTTTCTAAGATATTGAGCATAAATCAGTATAAATCTATTAATTATCGATATAAGTGAAAAATATAAGAAAGTTATTTTTAAATTACATGAATTATCAGTAAAGATAATATCTGGTGATAGACTTTATTATAATTCTGCTTATTTAATTTTCTGTGTGTAAACTTTCTCATAAACATAGTTCATTATGGGTTTGTTTGAAATTTAAATACTTAATTTTGGACCCTAGCAGTGTAGCTCTATAACCTATTTTTAAAACATGTATTATGTAGAAAAATCAATGGTTCATTATCTAGTTGCTTTGATTTTTCCTGGTGCTTTTTGATTTTGAAATTAGAGTAGGGGAAGAAAATTAAATTTCCTCTACCCTTCTGAGTTCTTAGCTGAGACCCCTGTAATATAAGACAGATTAACAAGAGAAAAATGAACAGAAGTTTATATATATATATATATATATATATATATATATATATATATGATACTCAAGGGAAAATGACTCTCTAAGGTGGTAGATTTGGGGGTGGCCTATTTTACTACTCTTCGTTAGTAACCCTAACTGTCTTGAAGTGCTTCACAGGAATCTGTGGGAGTTGACTTGCCCTTGCCTTTGCACACAGGTGCACCCTGAGCGTGACAGTGGAACAGGCCATCATTCTGGCCAGAAGCCACGGACTGCCTCCTCGCTACATTATGCAGGCTACAGATGTGATGCGGAAGCAGGTGAGTCTCCCTCACATTGGTGGGAGTTATTCTCTAGGACCTGGATTTGAAGGTGCCTTTGCTCACTTACCAGGTGTCCGACAGGTGCCTGGACGTGATGGGCACTTTTCCAGGCTCAGAGAGTAAGTCATGAATAAGAAACACTCCCGGGGAAGAAGACAGCACAGATGTCCACATGAGGGTTCTCCAAGAAACTTAGACAGGCTGAAGAAGAGGGTGTCTCAGAGGTCACCTGAAGGAGGGAAGGAAGTTGGCCAGGCAGAATGAGCAGGAGTGGCTTGGTGGCTTATGTAAAGGAGAAGATAAGTGTCACGTTCTGGGAATTGCAGGGAACAGATGGGGGAGAAAGAGGAAAGAACCCAGGGCCCGGCGAGCTTCTGGGTATCTCACAGGGCCTCGCACATTACGCTGTAAGGCTGTGCTTGATTCTGAAGGTAAAGCACACGGGTGGGGAACGTCCGACCCTCGGACCGGGTGAGGCCCTCAAGATCAACACCAGCTAACATCACACACCTGGCCAAATTAGCCTGACCAAATACAGCAGGTTAATTTTTAAGTTGATAATTTTGTATGGCCTGCAAATGATGTTATAAATATCTGAATCACCCTTGGCAGTAAAAGTTTCCCCACCCCTAAAAGAGCCACCATTGTACTGTCTTTAGGTATGAGTGGGTAAGAATATACTGTCTTATAAAGAGAATAAACTTTCTACACAATAATCCAATAGTGTTTTGAGTGTGGTAGTTTGGTTTTTAACCCTTAAAAATTCTTTTAAAAGATAGCAGCAAAAATGAGCTAATCTCCAATTTAGTGATTATTAGGAAAATGTGCTTAATCTAGTAGAAAAGACACAATGAGTAGGACAAAAGAAGTTGAAAGACATTAATTTTATATTTTAGTCTGCTACCTTTTCTCAGGGCTACCACAGAATATTGATTTAACCAATCTCTCTACTTGCTGACTTGGTTTGAATTGTCCAGTGATAGTGAATGACTTAAATTTTTTTAAATTAATTAATTAATTAATTAATATTTGTTACAGATGTTTCTCCTTTTTCCCCCACTGATTCCCCCCCTCTCCCCTCCCCACCCTATCCCCAGCTTTGTTGTCCATGTCCATTGTTCATGCATACATGCATATAAGTTCTGTGGTTTATCTCTCCCCCCACCTCTTTTCTAGGGATTGTCAGTCTGTACCCCACTTCCACATCTCTGGGACTACCCTGTTCCTCAGACTGTTATGTTCATTATATTCCACAAATAAGTGAGATCATAAGATACTTGTCTTTCTCTGTTTGGCTTGTTTCGCTTAGGATAATACTTTCCAGGTCCCTCCATGTTGTCTCAGAGGATAAGAGATCTTTCTTTCTTACAGCTGCATAGTACTCCATTGTGTATATGTAACCACTGCTTTTTTATCCATTCGTCTACTGATGGACATTTGGGCTGTTTCCCGATCTTAGCTATTGTAAATCGTGCTGCTATGAACATGGGGGTACAGATATTCTTTCTGATTGATGTTTCAGGCTTCTTAGGGTATATTCCTAGAAGTGGGATCACTGGGTCAAATGGAAGTTAAATTTTTAATTTTTTGAGGAAACACCATAGTGTTTTCCATAGTGGCTGCACCAGTCTGCATTCCCACCAGCAGTGTACTAGAGTCTCCTTTTCTCCACACCATCGCCAACACTTGTTGTTTGATGATTTGTTGATGGCGGTCATTCTGACAGGTGTGAGGTAATACCTCATTGTTGTTTTAATTTGCATCTCTCTGATGATTAGTGAGGTTGAGCATTTCTTCATATGTCTCTTAGCCATTTGTATGTCCTGTTTGGAGGTGAGGGACTTAATTTTGAAGGTATACTTTTGTAATTATGACTGTTTTATTTACTAAAGACTTGATGTATAGTTCCTAAACATAAAACCCTATGGATTTGCTTCAAAAAATATAACAGAAAAACCCAGAAGTTGTCATAAGTGAGATTGGCGCTGGCCTGGGGTCTGCAATGCAGACATGAGGTGTGGCAAGTGCATGTACCTTGGTGCTGCAAGTGGTGAGCCCCAGACCTAAATATGGAAAACCCAGGGTCCATGTGGGATTTGTTATGTGAATGTTAGATCCACAAAAAGCAGGCAACACACTGTGGTTCAGCTGAAAAAAGGCAAATGCAGATGCAAATGCAACAGGTTTAGTAAGAAATTTTGGGGGTTGATCTACAATTTCAGTTTTAAAAAGTAGGTCAAGCCTGGCTGGTGTGGCTCAGTGATTGAGTGTCGACCCATGCACCAAGAGGTCGCCGGTTCTATTCCTGGTCAGGGCACATGCCCAGGTTGTGGGCCAGGTCCCCAGTGGGGGTTGATGCTTCTCTCTCATTGATGTTTCTATCTCTCTTTCTCTCTAAAAAACAATCAATTATAAAATAAATAAAATTGTAACTATTCAGCTAGGACAAAACAGGCTCATGAGTGCTACAGAACTGTGATTTCTGTTCCATGAAAGTGCAGACACAACAGTTATATATAACCTGTTCATTTCCTATTGTCTTAAGTATTGCTTGCTTTTAGGAATAAAGACACAGCTGAAAAGGTGAACAGGAAGCTGTTATTTAACTCATTTCAAATGATTTAGATGGCTATTGGAATACAGAGCAATCCTCTGAAACAATATATTGGCATATTTTGATTGTTAAAAGCATTCATTTTGAAAATGCTCTGATGATGATTTCTCTCTTCTTCCTTATCCAGTGTCCCTTGATGTTAACTACATGGTTGGAATAAATATTCTACAATCAAATGTTAATGGTATGTTAATTACTAATGTGATATAGAACTAAGAGTGATTTTCTTTCCTTTTTTCAGGGAGCAAGAGTTCAGAACACAGCAAAGAATTTGGGAGTCAGAGACCGAACCCCACAGTCTGCTCCCAGGTAGGTGACTCTCAGTGTCTGCTTTTTGCCAAAGGGCTCCCCACCCTTTCGCAGGAAGTGTCACTCACGGTTAATGCAACTGCTCCAGGCTATGCCTGGTGGAGAACTGATTATAGTCACAGAAATTGGCCTGGTAAACATTTTGTGGCTAAATATGACTAGGCATAAATGCTCTCAGAATGAAATGGAATTTTAGCTGAAGCAAACTTAGAGGTAGCAAGTAGAAGTCTTGACATTATTTAAATTTTGCAAGTTTCATCATGAATTCGAAAACAAAAGTCTACACAGTTCCTATGAAAATTTATATTCCAACTGTACCAAAATACCAAAATGCCATTTTCATTTATGCTTTTATGACTGCACCTGCTGTTTGTTCCCCTTGGCATGATTGCCTTTCCCATCTGTGTCTGTATGAAAAAATCATTTAACCATGAAACCCAACTTGGATATAATTTTCTTCTTGCATTTTGGTTTAGTTTTCTTCCTCTTTATGCTCTGTTAGCATCTTGTATATCGATCGATTATAGCCCTGATCGTGTTATAATGTATTGATATATGTCTCTTTGCCCAACCTGAATATTAATTATTTGGAGGCAGGGAATATGATATTTTTCAATTTTGTACATTGCTCATTATAGATTTTGTTCTATGTACGATATCTGAACTAATGTCAAGAATATGTGAATGAATAAGTGAATGAACGAACTTTTTGTTTGTAAGCAAACAAATATTTACAGTTTACATATCATCATAAGAAGACTCTGATCCACCTTTAATAAATGAACATGGGAACAGCTGCCAGAAAAATGTTAATTTGATTTCTCTGGTGACATTAGAGTAGGCAGCCATCGGACTTGAAGTAGGGCAAAATCAAATAATTTATTTCATATTTGATTGTATACTTTTGCATTTTAACAAAAAGAAGGCTCTTCCAAGCACTGTTGCAGATGAGACACTCCTTGTTTCTATGTACAAAACCGTTACCAGAGTTAGAATGATAACTGCAGCATTTATGAAGTTATTTTTTCTTTCTGAAGACTTGTGTGGGCAGTGAAAGTATCTTGAGACAACAAAACATATTTTTCCCTGAAAACGGATGAAGCAGTCATGTTTTAATTGCATTTATTTTTAGTGCTTACTCCTAACACTATTTAATCCTCAAGTCTTGTTAACATTATCTTCCATAGTTGATTAGATTAGAATCTAAGACTTTCTTTTGCCAAAGACTCATTTATGTAGAAATTTGCTCTCTAGCACCTGGAACAGACATGGTATATTTGGGCAATAGACCCAATGCAGTGTTAAAATTACAGTAAGAAAACAAGGTAATAGCTCACCACAGTCCTCTTAGCTAGAGCTTATAAACAATCATAAACAGTGGAGTATAAGAAGACTTCAGCACCCCAGTCAATAAACCTATAGCAGGCTGAATACAAGAATAGAAACTGAGGCACTCACTCTTTTCTTTATTGGGTTATGTTTTAAAACACCTGAAATGAAACGTAATAAAATATGCCAACTGTAAAGTTGACTTTCTTTTACAAGGGAATAATGGCTCTGAGAGAGACAGTTAGAGTAGTTTTTACATGTTACTTTATTTGTTCTTTAATTTACTCTACAAATATGTATTAGGAAACTAATAAATGCAAAGCACTCTGCTATCCCCTATGCAGAAGGTAAACATGAGACAGAAATAGTTTCATGTCTCAAGGAGCTTTAGTTAAAGAGATGATGCCCTGGCTGGTTTGGCTCAGCATTTAGAACATCGACCTGCGGTCCTGAGAGACCCGGGTTCGGTTCCCACTAAGGGCATGTACCTCGGTTGCAGTTTGTCCCCGGCTCTGGTTGGTCATGCGGGTGGCAGCCACTCAATGTGTCCCTTTCACGTTGATGTTTCTCTCTCTCTTCCTCTCTCTCCCTCCCACTCTATCTGAACAACAACAACAAAAATCTTAAAAAAAAAATAAAAAAAAACATGAGATGCGTCAAGCATACCTATAAGGGAAGGTAGAAGGTAAGAGATGGCTAAGGTCTGCAGAAAGGCTGGGATTCCCTCCCAGCTGGGAACCAGAATTCCATCCCCAAAGACATCGAACTGAAGAATACGTTTGGCTCTTACAGTCAGGCCATCCATGAGCAAGTCTGGGGTAATGTTTCTGCAAAGATCTTCATGGAGATAACATTTGTTACCTCTGCCTGAGATAATATTTGATTCTAATATCCAACCAATCTCTTCATAGTTTTCCTAAAATCATTCACTTTCTCTCATTTAAAAAAATTTACTCAGCAAACATATGTTGAATTTTAGCTATGTGTTTGTAGGTGTCGGGCTCTTTGTTAAAAACTAGAAACTAGAGATACAGTCTCTTCTACCAGTCACGATGTGTGCAGTAGAGTGACAATTGAATACAATGAAAATAGTATACAGGGAGCTGTGACAGCAATTGACACAGATTGCCATCAACACACAGAGAAGGGGCACATATTTCAGCCTAGGGATGGAGAAGGGAGGTTGCAGAGTAGTCCTGACCCAGTCAGCATGGTAATAGATTTCCTACGCAGCTGATGCAATGACACCAGCGCCTATAGAACACATCACATTCTGAGAACTACACCTGGATCTCTGTGACTGATGGTTGAATGTGCTTTAAGAATGATGCCAAGTGAGGCTGGAGACATAGATGGGCTAGATTAGGAGGAGACTTGTATGAGATATTGAAGTGTTTTAACTTTATTTTATATTTTTTAAATCCTTACCCAAGGACGAGAGAGAGAGAGAGAGAGAGAGAGAGAAAGAGAGAGAAAGAGAAAGAGAGGGAGAAAGAGATATCAATGTGAGAAACATCAATCAGTTACCTTCTGTACCAAAGCCCTGACCAGGGATTGAACCCGAAACCCAGGTATGTGTCCTGACCAGGAATCGAACTGGCAACCTTTCGGTGCACAGGATGATGCTAAACCAACTTAGCCACTCTAGCCAGGCTGAAGGCTTTTGATTTTAATTAGAAGACAATAGGGAGGTATTAATAAATAATCTTCCTTTCTGGAAGATTTAAATTTTGAAATTTATCTCTGGTAACATTAAGAGGCTCCATCAGAAGAGAGCTAAGACTGAGGCAAGAGCTAGAAAGGAGATTATTGTAGTATTGGGGATGAAGATGAGAGGGTGGATTAGAGAAATGTTTAGTAGGCAGAATTAATAGTCTTTGGACAGTAACTGGATGAAGAAGATTGAGAAAAGAAAGATCCTAGAACAGCCACCAAATTGTTGGCTTGGATGACAAGGAGTGAATGGTTCTAGTCACTGAGATAGTAGACATAGGAGAAAGAGCACATATAGGGAAAAGATGATGAGCGCAGCCAGCACTATTGAGACTAAGGGTCAACGGGACATCCATGTAGAGATGCCTTCGTGGGCAGCGCAGACGTTCTTCTTCCTCCCTTCATACATTGGCTCTTCAGAGCTATAAGCATATCTTCACCAAGAATCAAGTGTTACATTTCACTTGGAATGGTATACTAGTCTTATTTTCTATTGTGTTACAAAACTCTAAACTGTGTAATGAACCCCTGATTTTTCTTTATTTGTATAATTTGTACATTTAATTTCCAAATTTCATACTGTAGTGGTTAAAAGTGACAAGATGGTTTAAGTCCCAGCTCTGCTACATGACCTTATTTAGTCAGGTTATTTGTCCTCTGACACTGTTTTCTAGTTTGTACGATGGGAGAAATGCCTTGCAATGGAGTATTTGTGGATTTTAGCCTTGGAAGAGGCATTAGCTTTGTGGTTTCCTCTGACACATGCATTTTGCCATGTGCACAGATGAAGAGCGTGATCTATAGACTGCGATTTGAAAGTTCTGCTTTGCAGATTTAGATTTGGGTTGGAAATTACCAGCTCCGACAGGAGAAGAAGAAAGTGCAGCTAAGATGACACCTTTTTGTGTGCAGAGCCGCAGGCGTGCATGAGTGGAATGAGACAAGCAAGCGCCCCCAAGTGTTGGGAAAACAAAGACCTCCCATTACCTAACAATTTAGTTGCCAAAAATCAAATGGTTCAGTGCGGAGGAAAAATCCAGCTCTTACCTATTATATTTTACTTCCAAACTTCATCTGCTTTTCTAACTTTCCAAAGTCCCACAATTTCCATTACAAATGTGTCTGAACTCAAATAACCCTGAGTTGCTTCCAATAAGCTTCACAGAAGCTGAATCTGCCCAGCTCTGCAGTACCCAGAGCTATTATTTTATTAGGTGATCACAGGCAGTAGCCTTTTCACCAGTTTTCAAGACAGACATTTGAAAGACTTGCCTCCCCAGTGGCATTAGTTACATTTGTGGGAACGTGCAGTTTAAGGTAATAGACTGGAATGGCTCAGCCCAGATCTCACCAGGTGGTCATCCTCCCCACAACTTACTATGTCTGTTCTGCTGGAGTCGGAGTCGGCCACTGTGCCTTCTCATTCATTAGGCAGTGCTATTGGGAAATGAGAGGGTAAACATTCAAGAGGGAAAGAACTTTCCGATCATTCTGCTGTTCCAGCCCCAGGAATGCAGTTTGAAGCAACACCGTACCATTTAGCTGGAAACAGCAGCTTTGAAGTCTATCAGCTCATTTTAATGCATTCTTTTCCCCGGGAAGGATGAAATGAGCTGCTCTGGTATGAGATGCCCTTATTTCAGTGTTCATTTTCTTCCATGGAGGTCACATGTGGAGCAGTAACCCCCTTCTAGACTTGAAATGCATTTTACAAACCTCCAAGGCAATAAATTCTTGCATGTGCTTCCAGACTAGGAAAGTTCATTTTGTTAACTAGGTTTCTAACTCAATATTAACAAACTTTCTCATTCTTCCTCTTTGATTTAGAATTAGCATGGTATTATGTGTTCAAGGGAGAGGAAATTTTTAATTTGCTAAATTTGTCAACAACTCATTTAAACTGCTGCGTTCAATTTACTCTGTAAAAGAGAGTGAATACCGAAGCTATTCCTAGGTTTGGAGTGTTTTAGCAAGAAGCAAAGTAGACATCTACATCTTAATTTTTAGGCCATCAAACTGAGCTCTGAAGGAGAACCAGCATGGCCACGGGCACAGGCAGAGTCCGGCCTCCGGCCACCTCAGGCCAGCTGATATTCTCTCAGACTATGTCTTAAATAATGGACGCACCCTATGTGGTCACTAGTGCAGCTCTGTGCTCCTGTCCTTTGTTCTGGAGTTAGGATTCCATCATTCAGGGGAAGGGAGAGCACTAGAACCTGTGTAATCCTAGGCCAGTCCCTGGAACTTGACCTTGAGGCTGTATGGTCTCAAACCACTAGACCGGGGATACAAAGAGGGAACGTCTTCTCATCTTCCCACATTTCCACCAGTTCGGTTGGATTCCTAGACCCACTCGAATCTCCACCTGATTCTATTCACAGGTGAAGGGAGGATGGGCAAAGCTGGGCATTTATTTCTTAGGAAATACCAGCCACTTGTGCCTTTGATGTTCAGGACTCAGAACTCTGCCGCAGCAGCCATTCCATAACCAACTGCCTGTACCACCTGATGGTACAAAATGAAGCAACTTTCTAAAACTGGCCAGAAAAATCAGTAGACCCCCTATGAGGTGGGTGTCATCTTAGTACAAAAAAATTATGATAGACATGATGGCAATTATCATAATAATATCATCTCGTGGAATTGAGTCAGTTTTGCCACCAGCAAGAGGAACAGTGGCGCTGGAGCAGAGCGGCTGGTGTAAACAAGGCAGCATTGCTCAGTCGGTCCTCACACTTGTGTGCACAGAGACACTGGTGTTTTCCATAATGGAGCAGAAATTTGGGCGTTTGCTCATTCACATGCGATCTTCGTGGAATCGGCAATATGGTCCTGCCTCCCAAACCAAGAAATGATTGCCAGTGGTTTATTGTACTAATGTATTTGTTATACTAATAAAAACACCTCATGAAATGTCAGTACTCTCCCACTTTCTCGTGCCTCTTCCAGGCTGTACAAGCTGTGTGAGCCACCTCCCCCCGCTGGAGAAGAATGAAGAACCAGGCGAGCAGAGCTTCTGAACATTGGACCAGACCACGGACAGCCTGGCCACCCATTCTCCAGCTGATGAAAGAATGATTTTTTTTTTCTCTCTAAAATTTTCACCATGGTATAAATAACCAATGTTCAGCTCCTACTTAGATATTTGTGCTGGAAATGGATAGACTTTCATTGAGACGACTCAGTTTCACAAACTGACCTCTCTATGTATTGACATGAACTGGTCATTTTTAGAGTAAAATTCATCCCTGGAAGTTACAGAGGAAAAAATAAATAAATAACCATCATTCTTCCTCTGCCACTTATTAAAATGATTTCATTGTGTCTGGTTTCATCTTCTCCAAATGGGAACACGTAATAATGGATCTTTCCACTGGAGGAAGTCCGTCACTGTGAGCACAGAGCCACCTTTCCTTAGCTCTGCAGAAATGTCACAGAAACAGACCGTGCCGTAGGTCTCAGCCCTCCTGCATGGAAGAAGGTAGTTTCTGGGTGAAAGGTGAAGAGCATGCTTTCCTGTTTCACAGGGTGCTTTTGTCAGGAGAGAAGAGAGTAATTGAGGTCTCCAGCAAGACATTCTTCCAGCTGCTTTCAGGTGTCCGTCATGCTCCTGGACAGTTCCAGCGGCCAGTGCCGCCTCCAGTCTCTGAAGTGGGCGTGGCTTTCTGGGCCAAGTGTGCTGGTGCTGTTAGATACGTCTGGGCTGGGAAGAGGCAGGGATTGGGGGTGTAGGAAGGGACATGAGGGTAAAGGAGGGAAAAATAAGTCTATTTTAAAACTCAATCTTTAACTGAGAAAGTTACCTAAAACTCTTAAATGTATTAAGGCCTTCATATAAGATGTCAGACTCTTAAGAGAATATACCATGCCCAGTATTTTTCTGTTATAGGTATATGTATAAGGTATGAAAATAAAGCTTTATTTGTTCAACCTTAAACGGACTACTAGAGACCTTGATAATCTATGGAAGCACAAGGTATATTCTGTGCATAATGTTTATCATTTCTATGTTGATACAATAACATTTTTAAGCACAGTGAATACAGTAATATGTGATTTAAATCTATAATTTTCAAAATAATTATAATACTTATATTGTGATTATTATAATTTTATGAATTTAGACTAATTTAGTATGTGGAATGCATTTCATAACTAAAGTATATGCAAATCATTATTAAATTTTAATTTATAAAATTTGTCCATGTCAAGCTATCATTAAAATCTGTATCACTAGTAGATGTGTATTAAATAACAAAAACACTGTTTACATATGTCTGAGATATTTATATACTGGTCAAGGTAATAATTATTGCTATTTGGCTAGAAGCTCTGAAGACTTACAGTAAGTTCATATGTATAATGAAAAATAAAGAAATCAACATCAGAGCTTTTAAAGAAAAAGTTGAACACTTTGAATGTAATAAAGAGATGACTCTAACATATATATCTACATTAAGTATTTCCTTATATTTTAGGGATTTAATGTTCTTGATACTATTAGCAAGTGATCATAACAGTCCATGATATTAGCAAACTGTGATTGTTCCCATACTGAAAATTTGATTATGTTCTATGAAGGGCTAATGAGTGAACAAAATGGATTAACTAGCAGGTGTTTTCATATTGTCATTAGTGTTTTCTACTAACTATCTTGGAAGCAGTAATTTCTTAAAGGGATGAAGGGGTCATTTAAGTATTTTGATCACACTTTGCTATGTTACATGGGGGAAATTATTTGCTATTGTGGTATATATAAGCTAGCATGTTTTTGACAACTCACATTCTTTGTAATATAATATTTTCACTATTATTTAAAGGTTAAACATAGTGTAAAGAGGCCATCTACTTTAATAAGTGCTTGGCATTTATTAAATGCTCTAAAGTTAGTAATGGTTTATATTATCATCAATAATTGTCATTTTTTATTATAATAAAAATTGTAGATAAGAGTCAAGTAATTACCATTTGCCAAGCGACATGTCCAAGCGCTCTGCCTGTATTTTTTTGTTTCTGCTTGAAAATCCTCATGATGACGATTTGAGGTGGTACTCTTTTCATAACCTCCTTTTACAGTTAGGGAACCAAAGTAGAGAATGGCCCACTGGCTGGCCCAAGACTACATGACTGACAAGCAGTATAACCAGAATTTGAACCCAGGAAGTCTGCCTTCTTAATACATTATGCTTCTTATTACCATCAGAACTGTTGCAATATTACCAATTACTTGTCAGTGAAGTAGGAGTCATGTGGACTGTGTTGCCATTAAATTATATATCTTATATTGAAGAAAAAGGGAATTAAATATGTAAAATGCCTTTAATATATAAAAGTCTTAGGATTGCCAGGACCTTTTACCATTCTGAATATACATTTTGAGGTAAACCAATGCTGTTACAATCTGCAAAACAAACAAACAAACAAACCAATTGAATATATTTCTCAAATTGAAGATAACAGTTTCAGTTATATTTTGACTGTCTCGAATAGTACATCATATAAAATTTGACTATGATTCCAAAGCAGTGGTAACAGTAAAAAATGTCTAATTAATGAATGAATAAAAATAATTTCTCAATACCATGATGTACCTCTGTGTGACATTGGGCATTTAACTGGTCTTGAGTTTTTAGAATAGGTTTACTTAATGCTCACATACTCCTCTACAACCATTGTGCCTTTAAGTGTTGCTAAACCTGCCGACAGTTCTTCCAAGTTCTGAGTTTGGACATTGGCCTCTCTCCACCTAAAAGGGAAGGTCATGCAAAGAAAATTTGGTTCTTAACTTAGGACCTGATTCAAAATTACATGTTAGCTAGTAACTCCTAGTCAATACTTACGTCTTGCAAAGATTTCTAACATTACATATCAAAAAATTTAATAATTAGAGATGTGAGCAATTTTAGAAAATTAGATATGTACATATATATCCCCATCACTATTTAACAAGAGGAAAGGAAAAAGAAAGAAAAATTTTGAACTATATTTCTTTATATTGTATATGTAATGTTGACTTTAGAGTATAAGCTTGATTTTATGAGCCAATATCCCAATCTTAGAAGTCTCATACTATTTTCTGTCTCTTTAAATCACATTTTTCCAGTGGCTTAGATTCAGTGACCACTCTCCTTCAGCCACAGTGTTCAATTTAAAATTAGTTTAAGTTCTTATGATACTATAATACATAATTGACCCTTGAACAGCATGGGTTGAACTGCTTGGGTCCACTGACACACATATTTTTCAGTAAATGCATACAGTACTGTAAATGTATTTTCTCTTCCTTGTGATTTTCTTAATAACATTTTATTTTTCTCTAGCTTACTTCATTGTAAACATACAGTATATAATACATATAACATACCATGTGTGCATTAATCAACTGTCTATGTTCCCAGTAAGACTTCTGGTCAACAGTAAGCTGTTAGTAGTTAAGTTTAGGGGGAGTCAAAAGTTATATGGGGATTGTTGACTGGGGTTAAGGGGGTGTGTCACTGCCCCTACTGCCCCCCCAACATTGTTCCAGGGTCAATTGTATATGATATTGTAATGACATTGGTTCTGACGCTCTTCATTTATGTTTTGTGATAGTTAATTTAGAATGAAATAAAATTGACCTTGGCACTATCTTAAAAACCAAGAAAATGAATGAGTAAAAAAAATCCTGAGGGGATGTTAACTAATGTAAGAAAATAAACTATTTTCAACCCTTTGGGCACATGCATGATATAAGAAAAATAATATTTATTGACATAGAAGCATTCAGTTGAGAGTTAGTTACTCCATGTATTTGGAAATAATATATCTGTTAAAAATATTAAAGTATTCTTCCATTAGTTCATGTAGGTCTTTCTGTATATAGCACAATGTAATGCAGATTCCAGGGGACGTTTTTTATTCACTTGTATCTTTTTTAATATTGAAGTTTAAAATTAATAACGTTACTTGAAGTCATTTTATTTTACATTTTACTTTAAAGGTCATTTTTTAGATTTTCTTCACTAGTGATATTGACTAATATTGAAAGTAACCTTTAGTATCTGATTACATTGTTTCTGAACTTTTGGAAAATATGTTTAATTTTTAAAGACTTATTTTTAAGAATTATTGTACTAAATTATAGTTTAATTACTTTTTCAAAGCCAGTAGCAGTAATTTCATTAACGTGAATATATTAACCAGTTTGCTGAATGAATTGTCAATTGTCCTGCTTAAATACAAAAGCAGAAGTTTTTGAAATGGTTTAGGATAATCTGAACTTTAATTAAGAAAAATAGTAAGTACCCTATCGAGTTTTGGAGTTTCAGTGATGAGCCTTGGAAAGTTTCACCCTGCACAAAGCCAAAGAGGTGGGGAAGGTTATAAGCAGAGTCTGGGCCAAGAATGGCTCAGGCTGATTCCTTTAAAATATAGTGGCCACAATCTTCTTAAGTACTGCAGTTCTATAGCTGTTGTTAGTAAGACTTTGGTTTTAGAAAAATTTCACTGCATCAAAGCTGCCTTTAACAGTGATCTCAGCATTCACATTGCCAAGGTGTGCATGCATGGAGGCTGCCTGGTAAGGCCTGTGCATCCTCTAGCTGTTGTTACATAGACACCTGGCCTCCTTCACTTAGGATAGCATGTCTCACTCACTGAGAAGACACCTGAAGTCTACGACGTCTACTAAGATACAGCTATCTACATTTATATTTACTGCTTTTCATTTTTTATGATGACACATTATAGATATTAGATTCTTATGTCTGTTTTATATGAAGATTTGATACATGGAGTTGTTCAATATATTGAACGTCTGTTCTATAGACATCAGAGCTGTGTGCATAGTAAGCTCACCTGGTAGGGCATCTCTTTGATCACTGATATTAGTCTGCTACTCAATCGGGAATTAATTTACCTAACTTTGTTACTCAGAAGAAGTCACTGATTATGTGAAAGTGTTGAGTTTTTAAATGATATTTCTACTAGCAATAGAAAGCTTTGGATAGTTAAATTTGGGTGCAAGTAACTGAATAAATGCCATCCACTTGTGTATTCATTCAACAAGTGCGTTTGAGGTCAGTGTGTATAAGGCACAGTCTGTGGACTCCATGTATGTTTGGATGTGCTAATGATTGCCTATGTCTTTTACTTGAAATAACATTATTTG